TGATGATCGAAACTTACATTTTAAGGTCATTAAACTTCCCCGAAGCTCTAGATGATCTTTAAATTCTTGGAACTACACTGAAGTTTTTGGAAAATTCTTGAACTTCTGATATGTTTTCTTTTTCCTTGATTTGTTTCCGTGCTGAGCACCAATGCTAGCGACGCCAGGGAGGCAGCTCCCACACCTGGACCCTACCTATCGACTCATCAACTCATGAACCATGGACCAACGGCTTTACTTCCCGTGATCAGAGAGGTTATGCCTCAGAACATCCCGGTGGCGCCGAGTGGGAATGAGCCCAGGCCTACTTGTATGAGAGGTAATCACGCTTACCACTACACCACCGGCTCCGCTAGACCCTGAGATATGTTTTGAGATGTATTATTTATTTATTTATTTATTTATTTATTTATTTATTTATGACTAAACATCAACAGGCGCCAATGATGTAACTTAATCTAAACATAAAAAGTACTAAAACTAAACATGAATAAGTCAATAGTCATCTCGTAAAAAAGGAACATTGCCAGACAAACTAAACTGATCTAGAAAAAAAAACGAACTAAACCTCCGGCGAAGCAGCTGGCGAGTCAGGTCAAAGTCAAATAGTGTTGTGGAGACCCTATTGAAGTCTCTGTAAACCACCGATTTTGCTGAACATGCTATAATTAGTACGCTGTATGGGCAGGCGCAGAATTGAATTATTCCGTAGGCCTCAGGGTTAAACATTGCAACTAGCTCAAGGAGAACAGGGCAATCGGTGCGTTAAAAAAAAATATGTGCAATTAGCAATGCGCTTGCTGTATCTCTTCGGATCGACAGGGGCTCCAGATGGATAAGTTGCAAACGACTTTCGTAGCTAGGCAATCGGAAGAGATCCGTCCACGGCAGTTTACGTAGCGCATATCTCAGGAACCGTCGCTGAACAGACTCAACTCTTTCGACACCGTTGTTGTAGTGAGGAGTCCAGACAGCCGAGCAGTTTTCTAATATGGAGCGAGACAAGGAGTACTAAAACGATTTAAGGCAGTAGATATCCGTGACGTATTTGGCAATCGTGAAGATAAACCCTAGAATTCTTTGTCGATTGCATACGAGATATGCTGCTTGAAAGAGAGTTGTGTATCCAGAATCACACCTAGGTCCTTAATTTGGCTGACGTGCTCAATTTCAGTGCGTAACAAATCATACGTGAACATAATAGTCTCTTGCTTGCGCGAAAAAGGGATAACCGAGTATTTGGACGGGTAATCCATATGATTCAGAATACACCAATCAGCAAAAGCATTCAGCTGACGTTGAAGGAAGCAACAGTCTTCAATTGAGTGAATTCGAAGGAAGAATGTAATGTCATCTGCGTAAGATAATCGTGGTTCCCCAATTACCAGATTCACGTCGTTGAAGTAAATCAGGAAAATCAGCAAAACTTCTTGAAGACATGCTTGGCATGCACAGTTGTACACACCAACTGCTCATTTGTAAATAACTTTTCACTCAGTTGTTGAAATTTATTTTTCTTTAAAGAAATTGATAGATTAGGATCACAGTTTACTATAGATATGCAAAAAGTTATAGTTATAGTTCGAGATATGCAGCGAGCATTTCTCACTTCATTTTTACAACGCAAGAACAAATACAGTTTATTACTAGAATTAAAATGTACTTTTAATGTAGTATCTATGACAAGCTTCTTTTTTTTCTCTGTTCGGGACCTAACACTACTGCGACCAGTAATTTGAATTTTTTTTACAGTTGCCACTCTTGCATTTATCGCAAGGATCCGACTCCAATTGAAATGTCCCGCTATTTATATCCTTCGGAGTGTTGAAACACCCTCCAAAGGCGCACCCCTTTGTCAGTAAAAATTGGAATTAAGGTATGACACCGATAATGAACATGCATCAGAACCCTAGTCTTAACCACTTCAAACTAGGGAACAACGAATAGAAGATTAGGAATCACATAGATCAAGACAACTAACTCATTTTTTTCCTTGTTTCAAGATCATCCTCGGTAGACAAAGCCGAGTCTTGTCACTATCAACAAGGCATAAAAAGTAACAAGGACTAAGATGTGTTCCTTCGATTACTGAAAAATCCTGTTCCCCTAGTTTGAAGTAGTCAGGACTAGGAATCGGTGGTAGATCTTACATCCCGTAACGTACCACGAAAAAGTGATCTACCCACGTTACGGGGCTGACAAGCTTAAACTCTATTCTATCTACTGCTTCAAAAAGAACTATGTTTCTTCAACTGTGTGCAAAGTTATTAGCAAATAAGCAGTTCGTGACCAAAACTGTGTATGCCAAGTATGCTTGAAGGTTCCCATTCACTTTCCAGAAGTTAATTGAACTACCAGAAACTTTATCATAATGGGTGGAGCAACAATTCTAACTAGAGCGCCTATTGAGATCCGTTGAAAAAGCATTAGAAGATGTAGGTAACGTAGGGTTGCCATTCACCGGTCAACCTCCCTTCACTGATTTTTTTTTTTCTCTGTCAGTTTTTGCGACATAAAATAGGGGAAATGACGGCTTCGGCATGACAGACTATTTTCGTCAACCCAAATTGAAACACTATTTTTACCGGATTTTCTTACGAAAACACTTCGCTGAATGCATACAAACGATTCTTTATGCTTTCAGCTTCAAGTTGACTATATTTTTACCACTGAGAAAAAGCAATCTAGCAAGGTTTTCTTGAAATGCAACACACGCACTACAAATTGTAGCTGATTTCGAGTTGCTGATAATAGAACAGCAGATTTACATGCAGTTCAAATGGAACGGTTGCCGAAGAAAAACTGGTTGCCGACAATACTCGCTCTCACTAGAGAAGATTGGAGCTTTGTAAAAGCGTTTCAAAACAGTTTTTGACAATTCTTTCGACTGAAATTGTTAGAGCAGCTGGCAGCAAAAGATTGTAAACAAACCAATATTGCATATGTGTGCGTTCCTTAGAGAAAAAGGCTATAGAAAGAAGGTCGCTGCTTAGGTTGCCGAAAATACGTAAATTCCCCTATTAACTTTAAAATATCATTAATGATTTCATTATTAAATTTGCGAGTTTTAGAAAGAAAAAAAATTAGTATGCAGTGAGCGGTGCTTGGTTACCTGACGTTAGTCTATACAGGAGCGCATGATCATTTATGAGGCAACCACTGTTTGTATTATTTTCAGTTCAATTGAGGGGCGCTGATTATATCTGGAGGAAGACAGAATATTTCCCCTTATGTTTTTTTTTCTTCTTCAATTCAAATTTGCTCATATAAGCGCAGAGTAACCTGTATGAGCGTTCCAAAATTGCCAAAGATTTTCGTGCACAGGTTTTATTAAAGAGCGCATGTAGATCAAAATTGGTATGCCCTCTTACATATATTTGATAAGAAAAACTCAGTTTTTGAAGCTGGTTGCTTATGGAACCCGCCGAAATCATAGATATATTTAATGTTTTCTGATGGATAGAATGATTTTACCGAAAAACTATATCTATTATGCATTTGCTAAAAGTATTCCGTGTCTATATGATGATGGCAAAAATCTAACACAAAATAAATGTTGGGTTTAGTTCAAGCAGTAGCAGTAGAACTTCCGGCTAAGATATCACATTTATCCACACTGGACTGAAAACAAACGGGCACCACCATTCACCACGTCATCATCGGTCAAACTTTGCCGAAAGTCATAAAATGTGACAAAATATTAGCACAACCATTGACCCACTGGGATAAAACTACGACTGCCACTTCTGCGATATGGCGATTCTATCCGTGTTCACCCCCGCACTCCGGACCATCTTGGCATCGATTTCCCGTCATATCAATAGTAAGTTTTACGCTTTACGATTGCCCCAGTTCTCGCTGGGGATTTAGTTGGATGGCAGAAATTTATCGGAAGGATTATTGCCGTATCAGCTGTATTGAAGCATCGGGAGTTTCCAACTACGTATTTTCGATGAAATAGGAGTCGCATCAATGTGTCATGTAGTTCAATGATATTTTTAAAGCTCATGTCACGGGAAAGTAGGATAGGATTTCGACATTTCAATGTTGGACAGCTGCATTCGATTTCATAGATCCCACTAGGGGTGATAAAAAGCATACGTCAGGAACAGGTAGTCAGAAGTATTCAAAATGCACATAATATTAATCCGCGATGGTTAAAAGCTAAGTTTTTTTTCCAAAAGTAATACCACTTCAATCAACCTTCAGCAAAGTGCCAACCTCCCACTATCCTAGCAGCAATGTTCCACCCAAATCGAATAATAGCAACAATGACGGTAATCCTCAACTCATCTTCTCGAGATAAAGTTGGCCGGTTTGGGAAAAACTGCATCCAACTGTTGATGGTGGAGCGAAAAACTTCTCGCACATGTTGCCAGCTTGAGACCAGCCATAATATCGGAGTTCTGCTTTCGCGAACAAAAATTTAATTAAAGTTGCCGGCAGATATTAAAAATTTAATTTCATAGTTTGAAATCAGATTACATCAGCCATCCTGTTGATCCATATCATGCCCTCTCCCGTATAGAACAGATGATTGCGTTGTTTTTTGCTCCAGTGATGATACCGTTGAGCCCAATTGGTTCATTTTTCGGGACAGAATAATTTCAATGAAATCCTCACCGAGATCACATCGCACCGACACACAACGAATGAACCTATGCAAACACACAATCAATGAAAATGTATCCTAATTATTCACCCATCTCCTGATCTCCCTCCACTAATCTACCCTCGTTCGTTATCGTTTCACATGACTTTAATTATACCACCAGCAGCCCGGTCATGGTGATAGCAAGGGAGAGAGCGTTTTTGTTTGAACATCATTATGAATAAGCTTCCTACTTTCGATTATTCAACGTCCACTCTGCACCGGCACCGGATCGTAGGATCCTTGTTATCCCCGAAATCGGGGATAATAAAAATTACCTCCAAAGCTCCTAAATTAAAACATGGACGATGCCTCACATAATCACGAAGAGAGATATAGAGATACGTACCTCACCGTCGCTGGACCGCTGCCAAGATCGAAGGTAAACTCCACGTAGCCCATGTTGAGGCACAGCGAAATGTAGTCTCCGTACTCATGGTGGCCACTGTATAGCAGCAGTCCATCCTCCAACAGAGGCTTGATTATAATCTGGTTCGGGTTTTTGTTTGATGTTGCGTTCGATTGGACGGAATCCGACGACGAGGTGGCATTGTTTCGTTTCGATTGTTTCCGGTTTTGACCATGATTTCGATCGATCCGGGTCAATTTCCGAGACCGAGGTCAGATTATCGCCCCCGGAGGATGTGATGGTAGGATGGCACAAATATGTTTGCACGTAGGTCATTCATTAGCGAGGTGGAGAATTGGAAAACACGGCGTATTTGGTGACGGGTGGGCGATGCATGCAAAAGAGAAAATAGAGAGATATGGTGTTATTAGAATGTTTGACTGCATATTGATGAGTTTGAGGAAATATACATTATTCATCGACCGTTTGTGGTGGGTACTATAAGCTTGTGTGGCGATGGTGATAATTGAAGATCAGCAAGCTAATCAGATTCATTAAGCAACGCTTTAATGGTCATCACTATGCCTTGTTGGAAGTAGATTGAAATGATGAATGAATGCTGATTGATAATAAAATCGATCATCATATCCATCCAACTTAATACAACATTTAAATCCAATTTAAAATATAATTGTCAAATGATATCGTTTAAGAAAAATGCATTTACACTGGTGGGAATCAATACGATAGAATTCTTCTTTTTCTAGGCTTTTTTTTACTATTCTGTAGCGTGCTGTTCCAGATCCACAGTTATTAATTGAGAGCTTTCTATGCCAACCAATGCCGGAATTTGTATATTGTATGGCAAGCACAATTATACACACCAAAAAATTCTGAATTTTACTGGCGATGTAAACATCCATGCATGCAAACATTCATACATGTAAACTTCCTTTTCACGTAAATTAGCAACTTGCAAGGAATGTTGCAAACAAAAGTGGACAGTTGCATACAATATATGGGATATGCCCTATAAATTTACACGATCTTTAATCTAAATTTGTATGATATATTTTTTTTTTGTATATTAATTTATTTGATAAGGCTCAACCGAATTAACTTAACAGAGCCGAGGATTCATGGTCACTATACAATACATCTTAAAGCTATAGTCAAAAGGTACAACACAATAAACACTTTATCTTCCGCTATCCAAAAAGCCTCCTCCATCAGAACTGGAGCCGCTTCCAGTAGTTTCATTGTATGGCAAATTGTTGTACGCCAACGAGGGTCAGAGCGCGTCCATTGCAGCAATGGACGCAAAACGTGGTCAGCACTCACACAATCATCACGAAACGGTTGCTTTCCAAAGTCGACGACGCATCGACCGAAAGAACTGCTGATGAAGAACAATGAGGAGGACCACACAATGGTTGCTGCCGAGTAAACAGACGATCGCGTAGCACACATCGAGAGTGGCCTGCTTTTGTCGACAGCCGAGTGAACACTGTGTATGATATATGACGCTCCATTTATGTGCATCATAGTAACGGAAATTTACACTACTTTTTTTAGCTGTGTACTCTATGCCCAAGGAAGTAGAGAAAATGCATTGACAATACTGTGCCTTTACTGACTAGTCCACCCTATTTTTTAGTCAGAGGATCGAAACGACGGATAAACTTCTAAAAGATTCTACGATAAGGGTTGATGCATATATTATGTCACGCTCTAGGGGGGGGAGGGGGGTCTAAGATTTTGTGACAAGCAATGCATTAGGTATAGGAAAAACTTCACGATATGGGTGGAGGGGGTAATTTTTTGCTCGATTTAGCCTGACATAATTAATGCATGGGCCCTAAGATTCGAAAAGAAGATTCCATAGAAGGTTCTAAAGAAGATTTCAAAGAAGATTCTAAAGAAGGTTCTAAAGAAGATTCTAAAGAAGATTCTAGCAGAGGATTATAGAGAAGATTCTAAAGAAGATTCTAAAGTATTTTCCAAAGAAGATTCTAGGAGAGGATTCCAAAGAAGATTCTTAAGAAGGTTCTAAAGAAGATTCTAAAGAAGATTCTTAATAATATTCTAAAGAAGATTCTAAAGAAGATTCTAAAGAAGATTCTAAATAAGATTCTAAAAAAGGTTCTAAAGAAGATTCAAAAGAGGGTTCTAAAGAAGATTCTAAAGAAGATTCTAAAGAAGATTCTAGCAGAGGGTTATAAAGAAGATTCTAAAGAAGATTCTAGAGAAAATTCTGAAGAACATTCTAAAGAAGGTTCTAAAGAAGATTCTTAAGAAGATTCTAAAGAAGATTCTTAAGAAGGTTCTAAAGAAGATTCTAAAGAAGATTCTAAAGAAGATTCTAAAGAAGGTTCTAAACAAGATCCTAAAGAAAATTCTAAAGAAGATACTAGAGAAGATTCTGAAGAAGATTCTAAAGAAGATTCTAGAGAAGATTCTGAAGAAGATTCTAAAGAAGATTCTAGAGAAGATTCTAAAGAAGATTATAAAGAAGATTCTAAAGAAGATTCTAAAGAAGATTCTTAAAAAGATTCTAAAGAAGGTTCTAAATAAGATTCTAAAGAAGATTCTAAAAAAGATTCCAAAGACGATTCTAAAGAAGATTCTAAAGAAGATTCTAAAGAAGATTCTAAAGAAGATTCTAAAGAAGATTCTAAAGAAGATTCTAAAGAAGATTCTAAAGAAGATTCTAAAGAAGATTCTAAAGAAGATTCTTAAGAATATTCTAGAGAAGATTCTAAAGAAGATTCTAAAGAAGATTCTAAAAAAGGTTCTAAAGAAGATTCTAAAGAAGATTCTAAAGACGATTCTAAAGAAGATTCTAAAGAAGATTCTAAAGAAGATTCTAAAGAAGATTCTAAAGAAGATTCTAAAGAAGATTCTAAAGAAGATTCTAAAGAAGATTCTTAAGAATATTCTAGAGAAGATTCTAAAGAAGATTCTAAAGAAGATTCTAAAGAAGGTTCTAAAGAAGATTCTAATGAATATTCTAAAGAAGATTCTAAAAAAGATTCTAAAGAAGATTCTAAAGAAGATTCTTAAAAAGATTCTAAAGAAGGTTCTAAATAAGATTCTAAAGAAGATTCTAAAGAAGATTCTAAAGACGATTCTAAAGAAGATTCTAAAGAAGATTCTAAAGAAGATTCTAAAGAAGATTCTAAAGAAGATTCTAAAGAAGATTCTAAAGAAGATTCTAAAGAAGATTCTAAAGAAGATTCTAAAGAAGATTCTAAAGAAGATTCTAAAGAAGATTCTAAAGAAGATTCTAAAGAAGATTCTAAAGAAGATTCTAAAGAAGATTCTAAAGAAGATTCTTAAGAATATTCTAAAGAAGATTCTAAAGAAGATTCTAAAGAAGATTCTAAAGAAGATTCTAAAAAAGGTTCTAAAGAAGATTCTAAAGAAGATTCTAAAGACGATTCTAAAGAAGATTCTAAAGAAGATTCTAAAGAAGATTCTAAAGAAAATTCTAAAGAAGATTCTAAAGAAGATTCTAAAGAAGATTCTAAAGAAGATTCTTAAGAATATTCTAGAGAAGATTCTAGCAGAGGATTCTAAAGAAGATTCTAAAGAAGGTTCTAAAGAAGATTCTAATGAATATTCTAAAGAAGATTCTAAAAAAGATTCTAAAGAAGATTCTAAAGAAAATTCTGAAGAACATTCTAAAGAAGGTTATATAGAAGATTCTAAAGAAGATTCTAAAAAGGTTCTAAAGAATATTCTAAAGCAGGTTCTAGCAGAGGATTCTAAAGAAAAATTCTAAGAAGATCCTAAAAAAGATTGTAAAGAAAATTCTAAAGAAGATTCTAATGAAGATTCTAAAGAAGATTCTCAAGAACATTCTAAAAAAGATTCTAAAGAAGATTCTAAAGAAGATTCTAAAGAAGATTCTAAAGAAGATTTTAAAGAAAATTTTAAAGAACATTCTAAACAATATTCTAAAGAAGATTCTGAAGAAGATTCTAAAGAAGATTCTAAAGAAGATTCTAAAGAAGATTCTTAAGAAAATTTTAAAGAACATTCTAAAGAAGGTTATACAGAAGATTATTAAAAAGATTCTAGCAGAAGATTATAAAGAAGCTTCTAAAGAAGGTTCTAAAGAAGATTCTAAAGAAGATTCTAATGAATATTCTTAAGAAGATTCTAATAAAGATTCTAAAGAAGATTCTAAAGAAAATTCTGAAGAACATTCTAAAGAAGGTTCTAAAGAAGATTCTAAATAAGATTCTTAAGAAGGTTCTAAAGAAGATTCTAAAGAAGATTTTAAAGAAGATTCTAAAGAAGGTTCTAAACAAGATTCTAAAGATGGTTCTAAAGAAGATCCTAAAGAAAATTCTAAAGAAGATTCTACAGAAGATTCTACAGAAGATTCTAAAGAAGATTCTAAAGAAGATTCTAAAGAAGATTCTAAAGAAGATTCTAGAGAAGATTCTAAAGAAGATTCTAAAGAAGATTCTAAAGAAGATTCTAAAGAAGATTCTAAAAAAGATTTTAGAGAAGATTGTAAAGAAGATTCTAAAGAAGATTCTAGAGAAGATTCTAAAAAAGATTCTTAAGAAGATTCTCAAGAAGATTCTAAAGAAGATTCTAAAGAAGATTCTAAAGAAGATTCTAAAGAAGATTCCAAAAAAGGTTCTAAAGAAGGTTCAAGAGAAGGTTCTAAAGAAAATTCTAATGAATATTCTAAAGAAGATTCTAAAAAAGATTCTAAAGAAGATTCTAAAGAAAATTCTGAAGAAAATTCTAGAGAAGGTTATACAGAAGATTCTTAAAAAGATTCTAGGAGAGGATTCTAAAGAAGATTCTAAAGAAGATTCTAAAGAAAATTCTAAAGAACATTATAAAGAATGTTATACAGAAGATTCTCAAAAAGCTTCTAGGAGAGGATTCTAAAGAAGATTCTAAAGAAGGTTCTAAAGAAGATTCTAGAGAAGATTCTAGAGAAGATTCAAAAGAAGATTCCGAAGAAGATTCTAAAGAAGATTCTAGCAGAGGATTATAAAGAAGATTCTAAAAATGATTCTAGAGAAGATTCTAAAGAAGATTCTAAAGAAGATTCTAAAAAAGGTTCTAAAGAAGGTTAAAGAGAAGGTTCTAAAGAAAATTCTGATGAATATTC